TGCAAATTTATTCCTACAGACACTTACAATAATAATTATTAACCTTAATAATTATTACAATAATATAACAATAAGAATTAACCCTTAATAAATGAAGATTTATTTCTTCGGCTTAACTATGAATTTAACTTTATATTAAAATAAGTACCAAGTTGCCATTTTTATCAATAATCAATCAATTAATAATTAATCAATAATAATAAGAAAAATATTAATAATACATTAATCTGTACACAAAACGTGATTGTAATAATAATAATAGTTTTCAATGAAAATAAAATCTTTGCAAAGGTTTTATCCTTACAAGTTAGAATTAACATAAAGCGAATTGATTTTTATGTGGTTCACAAATCGTAATCTTTTTTACAAATCCTATACATATTGTAATATATTATATATATATTATTGAATATCCATATTTATTTAGATTTTCTTTTGTTAATAAAAATTAAATTTTAATCATAAAATAATATAAGGTTCATATGCATGACAGAAAATCATTGACAATTAAAAATATTTCATAATAATAGAAAGACCTTTTCAGAATTCAAGACAGAAAAATATATTTTTTTTTATAATATAATTGATAAAATCTATGTACAATCTACGGAGTGAAAATTAACTAAAATATGATATATACAATTATGTGAAATTTATAAATAATTATTATTTTATACATACTTACATAAATGAAGGACTTTTGCTATATTTTTAAGATTTAAAATGTTTAACATTAAATTTAAGATATTTCACACATAAATACGGGTATAAATAAACGTTAGACTTTAATTTAACAAATTTTTTATTATTTGCAGTTGTTGTTGATTGTATTATTGTTTTTTAAGATGAAAAATATATTAATTTTTTTTAATAAAGAATAGATTTTCTAATTATTTATTTAAAAATACTTACTAAAAAATTATTTACATATATAGTACTAAAATTAAACTTGCAAATTTATAAGAATATATAAAGAATCATCAATTATTTGAAACATTCGTTAAAAAACTTTTTTAAATGTATCTAAGGAAGCTTAAGTTTTCATGAATTTTTATGTACGATAAATTTTGAGACAATTTATTTATAAATAAATGTAAACAAAAACTTGAGTAAGGAATCGACAATAGAAAATTGGAATAAAGTTGAAAATTTGCTTTAAATTATGTTTTTTTTTATGTAATATAATTTGTAATTTATTATATCGAAACTTCAAAAACTTTTGTAAACATGTAATTAAATAAAGTTTTCGAAGTGCATTTTTTCAAGTTATTCATTATCTGAAAACATATTTTCGGATTCTTGATCAAATACTGAAATGAAAATGGCAATAATGTAAGTATATTTACAACATTTTCACACTTATTTCAAGGTTATTATCTTCAATATATAAACATTCTTTCACCAATAGACACCATATCTTATAAATAAAAATTCAAATGATCATTGCAATTTAACCGAATTTCAAGTAATTTTAATTTCAATTGCATCTATAAATACTGTAAAATATTCACTTTAAAATTTGTATATCGGGAAAGTATTGCGCAACATATATATAATAACAAATTAGAATTTTGTAAATTAGAATTTTATATAAATTCAAGGACTTTACTAACTATATAAAAGCCGATTAGGGCGACTTTGCGTATCTCCAAAATGAAAACAGCGCAAGCTTTCTCGGAAGAAAAAAGCGAGCGCAAAGTTCATTTTGAATCAGAACAGAAGCCGATTCTCTCCAGCAGAGTTGTTGCTCGACATCCCCCATGTCTGAATAAAATACTTTTGCGAAAATAACGGGAAAAAAGAGCGAAGGAGTGGGGGTGCGGATATTCCGCGAGAGATGCGTGGGAGGGAAGTAACGGCGGCTCTGACGTCACTGGAGCGGCGAGCGTTGCCGTGACAACGTGCGGTCGCCGCGACAGAGTTGGGGGTGGGGGCGTTGAAGTCGGTGCCGATGCCGCCACAGACACTTGGTAAAAATCAATTTAAGCCGCTATGGTATTTCGGCTCACTTGCCTCCAGTCATCTTACGCTGTCGGGTGGACCAACCGCAGGTTAACGGCTAGTGTAACTAATTTGCAGGTTCTCTATGGTCGCTAGATATTGCAGATGTCTAGGTGTGTCTCGTATTTTTCCTCTTCCGCTGTTGTGGCATTTACCTATTGGATCGTGGTCATTGGAATGCTTAGGAATATAGGTGAAATGTCTCTCGCGTTCATTATGATTAAACTGTGGGTAGTCTTTCCATATGAAATGTTTGATTATTGCATTCAAACTTCAGTAAAGGGAGAGCACGACTGTCGCGTTTTGAATTTTGACTCACCATATTCATGCATCGTACAGCTAAGGAAATTAATAAGTTAACATTAGATAATTAATAAGTACATTGTTGATTATTCATCGAAAGCGGAATAATAGTTGAAGTGTTTATTATTTCGGTAGATGTGTTAGATCGTTGAAAGAAATTGTATTTATCAACATTAGTGGATGAAATTTTGGTAGTTGAAAAGCTTTAACGTCTTGCATATACGTATTTTATCGGAGGTAGATGACTGAATGCCAAAGAACATACGTTCGTGAATATTGCGGGATATGGAGAAAGATGGATAGATTGAGAATTTGGTAGAATGACGAAGAGCATGCGCTACGAGCCTCGATGAGTACGTGCATACGAATAGAGAAGCGAGAAGTTTCACCACTGAAACTCCGATGATACGGCATAGCAAGAGAGAAAAAGAGACAGTAAACCGTTTTATTCCCGATGTATATAAATATATGTACACAAAGAGGGGGAGAGAGAGAGAGAGAGAGAGAGAGAGAGAGAGAGAGAGTTAGAGAGAGGTAGAGAAAATAATGAAAGACAGGGGGGGGTGTCTGTTTTCCAACGCTGATGTGTGGATGCAAGAAGCTACAGGGTGAGTGGAAGCGAGAGAGAGCAAGCGACAAAGATGGAGAGCTTTTAGCTTTCAGGCACTGGCAAAGCGATGGCGTTGAGGAAGACCGCGTGAGCAAGAGAGACGGTAAGCGGAGGTGGCGGAAAGTAGGGGGGATCGAGCGTGAAGCTCGAAAGCTCTCTGTGTTTCGCCAGCCTTGTGAAAGCTCGGCTTTGGTGGTGCTAGCAGCAGTCGTGAGTTACCAACTCATCGAGCGAGTCGACTCGCGGATGCGTGCATGCTTTGCGCGATTCGGTGAGCGTTTACACACTCGCGCGCACACGCACACACACTAAATCATACACACGCACACGTACATAAACACACCCACACGCGCGCATATACACAACCATACGCGCGCACACAGACACACCAATACACTCATACACACGCGTGTATGCGTACACGCGTGTAGCCGCGCACAAGGTTGAGTTAATGCGCAAATAATTAAACAAACAAACAACAAATGTACATATAAATAAACAAACGAGGAAACAAGCAGAGAAACAAACGAACGACCAATAAACAAACAAACGTATAGCACAACTGCGCTTATACCGTCAAGTGGCGCCCGGTATTCACGAGGTACTATTACCGAGGAATGAGTAACGTAACCCGACCTAGTATTTCCTCCTCCTTTGTCCAGGTTAGATTGCTGGAGTCAGGAGTACACGCCTTCGCGTCGCCAGCTACTTCCAGTGCTGTGCGAGCCCTCGTCCTTGTCGCTCGACGGAGCGCGAAGGAGGCAACTCCACGCGTATCTATAGACGTTGGACGCATAAGGAAGCGTTGCTTCAGAGGAGCACATGCTCGTAGTGGACAGTGATCACTAATCTCAGAGTTCCTCGCGTCTCCCGGGTGTTTGATTGTGGAATTTCTTTTCAAGACACGCGTACGATAAAAGATAGAAGGAAAGAAGAAGCAGTGAGAGGAACCAACGACGACGACGACGAAAACGACGACGACGACGACGACGACGTCAGCGACGACAAAGAAGAAGAAAAAGAAAAAGAAAAAGAAAAAGAAGAAGAAGAAGAGGAGCAAGAGGAAGAAGAGAAAACGGAAGACGAAAAAGAAAAAGAGATGCTCGCCGTACAATAGACAAGCATATATATCGATCGAACCTTGCGTAAAGTAAATTTTGGGTGAGAGTTGGGTAAGGTCAGATAGAGAGAGAGAGAGAGCGAGAGGGAGAGAGAGATAAAGAGAGAGAGAGAGAGAGGGAGAGAGAGAGAGTGAGAGAGAGAGGGAGAGAGAGAGAGAGAGAGCAACGGAATCAGCAGCATCAGCCGGCGGCTTAGGATGTGTCTACGCCAACAAGCGTTGCTGAACATTGCGACGGCCGCTTAAGGGACATTGGGCTTGTGATGAAAGTGCCGCGGCAACAGGGCCACGCTCCAAGCTAGAGGTCGATGAGCCGCGGTGACGTCGTCCCTGTGGTGGTCCCGAGGAGGACGTGACTGCCTGAATTAATGTGGATAGGTTGTTTCACGATCGTGGGGTAGCTCCAGTCTTTCAAACAAAGACACGGCTAGTGGCCGTACTTTGTGTACGTGTGCGTGCACGTATACGTGCATTTGTGTGCGTGTTATGCGTGTTATATGTGCATGCGTGTATGCGCGCGCGCGCGCGTGATAATCACACGCTAGTGCGAGAGTTGGCTAGGGACGGACGGGGGACGAACGGACGGGAACGAGAATTTTTGTATCGATAATGGTGGAGGACAACGTGCCGGGATGTAGCTGTTGGCTACCGAACGTGCGAAGAAGACTCCATTGTGAGGTGGACTTTGATCGGAGGCACTGAGGCGCTGGGTACTTTGACGGATCGCTTTAAACAAAAAAAAAACAAAAACAAAGAGGTCGACGACGATGACGCGAGTGATCATCGGCACTATCGAGTCGATGCTGAATTATTATGAGACTCGCGGGTGAGGTCCCGCGTCCCAAGGGCTTCGAAAAAGGCGATCGACCGAGCAGAGGTGTTTGCCAGTCGATCGCCTTTTCTCGGGACTCGCGATCTCGATCGAGGAACATGTAGTCGTGCGCTGTGAGTTGGGACCGGTAAGGAAAAATAGCATTGGCCGAGGCTACGCTCGCTCGGCGGTGACGAATCACTGTTCGCCAGTCGATTTCGCGAAGAAGTAGTTAAGGGTCGACGAGGGCCGGCCGCATTACCACGCATAACATGGCTTCGGTCGCGGCTTGGCTGCCGTTCGCCCGGGCGGCGGCGATTGGGTGGGTACCAATAGCGACGCACCCGTTGCCTCCACCGCCCATACCGAAGAATCGTCGCAAGGCCGACGATGAGAAGCTTCTGATCAACGTTTCTGGTCGCCGTTTCGAGACTTGGCGTAACACTCTCGAGAAGTACCCGGACACGTTGCTCGGCTCCAACGAGCGCGAGTTCTTCTACGATGAAGAATCCCGTGAGTACTTCTTTGATCGCGACCCGGACATATTTCGTCACATCCTCAATTATTATCGCACTGGCAAGCTTCACTACCCGAAGCACGAGTGCCTGACCAGCTACGACGAAGAGCTCGCGTTCTTCGGTATCCTGCCTGATGTTATCGGTGACTGCTGCTACGAGGACTACAGGGACAGGAAGCGCGAGAACGCCGAGCGCCTGATGGACGACAAGCTGAGCGAGAACGGCGATCAGAATCTTCAGCAGCTGACGGACATGCGCCAGAAAATGTGGCGTGCCTTTCAGAATCCACATATTTCGACCGCGGCCCTCGTATTCTACTACGTCACGGGCTTCTTCATTGCGGTAAGCGTCCTGGCCAACGTCGTGGAGACAGTACCATGTGGTAATAGGCCAGGACGCGCGGGTACGCTCTCCTGTGGCGAGCGATACAAGATCGTATTTTTCTGCCTGGATACCGCCTGCGTCATGATATTCACGGCTGAGTATTTATTGCGGCTGTTCGCGGCGCCGAGCCGTTGCAAATTCGCTAGATCGGTCATGTCCATTATAGACGTTGTAGCTATATTGCCGTACTACATTGGTCTCGGCATTACCGATAACGACGACGTCTCCGGGGCCTTCGTCACCCTGCGAGTCTTTCGCGTATTTAGGATTTTCAAGTTCTCACGGCACTCGCAAGGCCTCCGGATCCTCGGTTATACCCTCAAGTCGTGCGCTTCCGAGCTTGGTTTTCTTGTTTTCTCACTAGCTATGGCCATCATCATATTTGCCACGGTTATGTTCTATGCTGAAAAGAACGTAGACGGCACTAATTTCACCTCGATTCCAGCCGCTTTCTGGTACACCATCGTTACAATGACAACGTTAGGGTGAGTTAACGCGCTTTCTCTTACTACTCTTAATGCACTATTTAAATGCAATATTTTTATACTAAATTATACATTATTCGCACTGTTTACTTAGACCATACAAATTAAGAGATTCTTCCCACAATTTCCTGGAAGCATAATTCTAGTTATATTAATTCGACAAAGAAAATACCTACGTAAGATATAGATTGATCGATTATCTCAATATATACTTCTCTCACTTATGGATTATATTTTATTCAAAATGAATGTCCACCGTCAATATGCCAATGATCAAACTAATATTCATTTGAGTTGTTCTTAAATAAATTTCACCTTTCAATACTACTAATAATTAATATCAATACATTTAAATTTTTTTTAACCAAAGAAAATACTGAAAAAAAGTTTAAGAAATTAGTGAGAGAGAAGAGAGAGAGAGGATGATTTGAAGATATATTGCATTATCGTCACTTATAAATTTTTAGCTGTTTTTTTTTAAAGCACAAAAATCATTGTATTATATTGTATTATATTTATTTATTTATTTATATATATATATTTATTTATTTATTTATATTTATTTATATATATATATATATATATATATTTATTTATATATATTTATTTATTTATGTTCATTTATTTATCCTTGCTTAGACGAAGTTGGTATTTTATTTCTATGACTTCAGCAAAATATCTTTTTAATTCATTTATGCTTGATATTATTCATGGATGAATTTAAAATTAGAATAGTCAATATTTTGTGGTTTAATTAATTTTCCAGTTATTAAGTGAAAATTTCAAAGTGATTGACGGGACTTTAATTGAAGCTGAGAGAAATGGTGTCGTTATTTTTCATCAGATCTATTTAATCATAATGCAAAAGTTTCACAAACTCAATTAATTCAAAATCTTCATTTTTATTGAATGAGAAATTTTGATAAATGAATCGAAATCTACCTCTATATTAAAGGAATCGTAAAAAATTGATGTACGAGTACAATAATTACTTAGAAACTTAAATTAATTAAGTGTATTGAATAAATAATGGTTTTATTAATTTGAATATAAATTAAGTAGCGTTATTGAACATTTTTAGATCAACGTTCCAAGAATAATAGTCAAAATTAGTTTTTGTATTAATCATTTATTTCTTTTTGTTTGTTAAATAAAGTGTATTTGAATTTAAATTTTATAAAGAAAAATTTCTTTTAGAAAATAAAAACAAAAAATAATAAATTTAAAAAAAAACAATTGTCACTATCATTTATCAACAAGTTAATTCTTATTAGTTTTATTTTATATTTCATATTAAAATATTGCTTAACGAACGTTTTTTAGTAGCAATAGATTATTAACATTCGATGGAATGTTGTTTTTAATTTTTTGTACATTTAATAGAAAAATTCAGAATACAATAAAAATTACAATATCGAAGAAGCTAAATAGTTTTATGTTGTTAAAAACCTAGTTAATAAATGATATCGAATGCCTGAAATACAAATTAATAGACCATATCGGATATGTTTTATTTGTATTTGCTTTTATTCACTATGGAGTTTTAGAAATGTAAAAAAAAACGTAGAGTTGTTAAAGAATTACACATTAAAATTTAGATTTGGTATAAGATAGAGGTAAGGTTAGTTATAAGTAATTATATAAAGATAGGACAACTATTCATTATACGAAGTCTTGTTTGCCTTTGTAATATATTGTATAGAACTTAATAACAAGACTTTAACGTAGTCGATTACATACAGAGGTTATTCAAAGTATTTCTGTATTTCGGAGACAATTCATACTTTAAATTTTACTCTCCTCTTCTTACATTTTCCTTTCGCTATTGCTATTCTATATCTAATACAAAGGCTGATTGTCTATGCATAGTTTAAATTCGCTAAAATAACGAGCATGAATTCGTTGGATAATACCAGGGGGCTTTCTCAGACAATTGCAATACTTATTCAACCTTTAAAAAGAAAAACAATAAACGAAGTACTAAAGAAAGAAACGCGTATGGGATGACGTCAGTGCAGTGAGCCCAGGAAAGTCCACTCTCAAGGAGAGAAACGCACAGGCGAGAAATGCGGCAAAACTCGGTCAAGTTCGTACGTGGCGAAGGAATACGCATGACATGGATTTTTATGGAAAGTGAGCTTCCTAGAAGCTAGAGCTAGATATCTTCAGATTTTCATATTTCTTTATTTCTTTTTGCGATTCGTCTTACTCATACACCTGCAGCTATTTACTCTGGGTTTACCCTCTTTTTATATCAAAATACGTTTATTCTTTTTTCACGTTTCTTTCATTTTTCTCGTGTCCCTTTTTAGTTAAGATAAGCTATATGACAGATCTTACGAGAGACTACGGCTATCATTTTGACAAAAGGTTTATATGATATAACTTTATATGATATGAAATAATTTGAATTTATTTTTATAGCAGTACCTTGTTATTAAGCTAGTAGATTTTTTTTTAAAGGTATTATAATTAATTTTTCATTTCTATTTTCAGTTAACCCATTCGCAGTTAGTTTTTTCACGCATAATTTATAATAACTTAATTAATTGCAATGAGTGCAATTAGCTTATTATTAATTTTTCAATTTCAAAGGTATTAATGAATTAATTGAAATGTATACATGTAGTTTTAGTATTTGAAATAGATGATTGTTTTATTTCCTTTGTACAATAAAATCTATGGTAGAGCATTTATCCTTCTTCTAATATCTCAAAGGTTAATATGTTCATTACTTTATATTAAAGTTTGATTAATAAAGTAAGTATTTTATAAACTCATTTGCCAATAATGCTTTATTCTGAATTACTTTGGAAATTACATTTACGATATTATTATTATATCAAGATAGTGATATTAGTTTTAATATTAAAGAGACTGTTCAAATTAAGATTTTATTCGAATGTTCATATTGTAATTGTAATTCGATGATTATTTCTTCTAAATATAATTGCATTTGATAGAGATTTGATTGAATTTTGTAACATTTAATAAGTTATTTATTTTATACGTTTCACTTCTATTCTGATATATGTTTAACTTAGTCTATTATTAGTAATTATGCCATAGTGAATCTAAATGTAATCAGTTTTAAATAATCGATTATAAATTTTTCTTTCATATAATTTTTATTCACATGCGTATATAAAATATACATAACGACACTTAATATATTTCATCCAAGTGCTGAAACAATTATGACTGCAACTTTGTATTTATAATATTATTATCACGCGTGTTCACACACACACACTCACTCACACACACACACACTTACACGCACGCACGCACACACACACACACACACACACACATTTATTTTCCATAAAAAAAAAAATATATATATATATCAATTAAATGTTTATGTATAATTTATTTAGTATGAAAGTTGTTTAATTATTCATACATGTTTAAGCATTTTTTGTAAATTTGAAGTTATGTAGTGCTTGATGTTTAAATAAATTTTTCTTAAATATTCGATTAAAACTTAAATACTATAAATAAAAATAATTAACTATGTTATATCATCAAATCATTTATCGATTTTAAGATAATTCAAAATAAAACTGTTTATTGTAAGCTTAAATGTTTAAAAATAATGTGTTACTTATAGAGTAGTTAGAAAAAAAAATAAACATTTACATGATGTTATTTATATACATGTAGATCTTAAAATGAAAACTGGTTTGTAAACTTATCCGTGTAATGAAACGACGTAGAAGAGATGAGATCTAGAAGAAAAAAATACGTAGAAGAGAGTGAAGAGAAAATAGTAACACTTAAAGCAAAAAAGGAAACTCGTATCAGTGGTTAAAGCGTTGCACGAAAAGTTACAAAATACTTTTCTAGTGCTTTGAATGCGTTAAAAAGATAATAAAAACTATGTATTATTCATCAATGTGTTAAATTTTAATAGAAGCTTTGATACAAAAGTTTCTTAGGTTTATTAAGTTACAGTAAATTCAAGTACATTGTAATATAGTGCACAATAGAATAAAACGTAAAATTTTACAAACTAGAGCGTTAATAATGATGGAAGACATTTTAAGAATTTACCCTATGCTGATTTCGATACCAAATCTTTTATTGACACTTACTGTCTGCCTATTAAAATTAATTTTATAATTTTGTAATTTAATTTTGTATTATATTAAATTTTATTTTTATTATTTTCTAAATTAGAAAATATTACACGTATGTCGTTATGTTGAAATAATCTTTATAGAATGTTGTTTTGAATAATTAATTTTGAAAATATTTGTTATACTTCTATTATGTTTAGGCATTTACGTAAATATCTACGTTTTATAAATAATTAGATACTGTATCAAACAATACATCTTTTCACTTGCCATTAACTATGGGAAAATAAGTCGTAGCATACATGCGGGTTCCCTTGAATGAAGATCATGTGAAACGAAATAGCAAAGGGAATATATATATATATATATATATATATATATAAAGAGAGAGAGAGAGAGAGAGAGAGAGAGAGACATAGTGGGGGAAGATAAAAGTCTTGTTCGCAATCTTACTCTTCAAGTAATTGGCTTCGTGTAAACCACCGCAAGGCAGAAAGACGCCGCGACGTTCCGTCTACTGCGCTTGAGTGTATTTTTAACCATTTCGCCTTGTCTTTCTTTCCTTCGTCTTTTTTTCTTTTGTTGCATTTCCCGACTCGCGTTTTTCTGTTATTTCTCTTTTTCTTACTTTCTTCAGTTTTTCTCAGCTTATCTCTGTTTCTCAGTTCATCCGTTTCTCCCTGTCTGGCAGAAAATGTGGAATGTGTATGGAAATTTTTTGGTAGAGGAAAACTATTAACATTGGACACTGTTTTTAGAAGTAGCAAAATTTAGATCAGATTATTGTTCACTATTTTGTATTTGGTGAATTTATTAATCACATTTAATTTTTAACTGAAGTTATTTTTGTATTATATTTCTAATTTAAATATATCTTTAAATGCTAATTTTAACATATGTTGGTATCTAATTATATCTATAC